ATCTCCTTCTTAGCGGGTGCTAATGCAGCCCTCCGGCGGGTGATTACCATGGTGGGTGCGCCGAGGAACTGCTCGCTGCCCGCCCTGCCTGCCCGAACTGCCGCACAAACTGCCGCGCCACGCTCTGTTCGCCCGCGCTCCTGGTCGCCCGCGCTCCCAGGGGGCGGCTCTTGTAGGCGGGGGCTCGGGCAGCCTTACCCTGCCGACTCCGCCCCCGCTGCGCCTGGGCCGCCTGGGGCTGGGGGTGCCTCGCTCGCCGGTTTAGCTGCTCTCGGGTAGGTCTCACGGCGCGAGCCTCCGCTCCAAAGCCGTCACCTACGAGGATGAGCTAGAAAGGTGGAATGAGCTGCAAAGTTGGTGTTACAGCTTTTTAAACCACCGCCTTACCCTGCCGACTCCGCCCCCGCTGCGCCTGGGCCGCCTGGGGCTGGGAGTGCCTCGCTCGCCCTGCTCGGGTGTGTGCGCTGCACTAGGCGGCTTGGGGCCGCCGGTTTAGCTGCTCTCGGGTAGGTCTCTTTGCTGCCCTGCATTTGTCCCCACAGCCCCAGCGCGCAGGCACTGCACAATACAGGGTGTGTTCTGGAATCAGCCCGCTCCATGGTCTCCATAACAGCCCTTGGTGCTGTCCCCATGGTCTTCCCACCAGCCCCAGGCCTTGCCCGACCTTCACCCCGTCCTCCTGCACATAGCGGGAGGCCGTGGGTCAGGGTCTGCCGCAGTCTGGACCCAGAGAAAGAGGTCAGGCAGGAATGGCCATTGCCCCTGCACAGCTGCTGAGCCCAGCAGGCAGATGAAGTGGGTCCAAAGATTGACCCTCACCAGGACCACAGGGAATGGCTGGTCCTGGAAAAGGCTGGAGAAGGGGCTAGGTTCAGGAGGAGTTTCCTGGGGCAGTTTCTACTCCCTCTCCATGCAAGAAGAAATTGGCCTGGGATTGGCCCTGCTTGGGGACCCAATGGGAGGACGATGGTCCACAGCAGCCAGCATCGTGATCTCTGCATGCTCCCTGCCAGCTCCACACAGGAACCAGGAGAGGACTCATCCTGCCAGGGCTCACCACTGGACATCCAAACCTCCAGTTTTGTGCAGAGCCTCCTCTGAATGGGACTTGTGGAGCAATGGGCAGCATATGGGGCAGGGCCTGAGGGGCAGCAGCAAACAAATGTGGCTCCTGAGTCCTGCTTCCTTCAGTGCCAGCTCCCACCAGGACTCCCAGGCTTGCTATTGGTACCACCCTTCTGGAGGGACGATGGCATTGTGAGCTTGAAGCATGGGCAGCATTGATCCTTCCTCAGCCTGGCCAGCACAGCAAGCACTTGTGCCTCTGCACCAGGAACTTGCTTTGCTAGACCCACAATCTGAACATTATCTTGGAAGGTGAAGAGCCTTCCAAGCCCGGTTCCACTTCCTTCTAACCTCAAACAAATCCATCTCTGGGCCTGGAATCTCTGAGGGACTATGGAACATTCCCAAAGGTCCCAATAGTGTCCGTGTGCAGATCTAGATCTGACCCCTTGTATTTCCCAGAGGGTGACATGAATCACTCTCCAGGCCCCCTTCTCTATGCCTGCCAGGTCCTCACTGCAGAGTCCTGCTTTGGCCACAGACACCTGGGTTTAGAGCATGACCTTCAGGTAACGTCACCTTGGAGGACCTCCCACTTTGTGAGGCTCCACTCACTGTCCACCCCACGTACACACTATCCCAGCAGATCCCCTATGCTCTCCTGGCACCTCCATCTTCCCCTCCAGGAGACTGCGTATCTGACACTGTGACACCCTTCCCGTGGGGGACAGATTGGGGTACAATAAATTCATGACCATTCATGCTCTCCATTTTCACTGGACAACTAAGAGTGAGTCCAAATTGAGCCGTTGATCTCTAAGAAGTCAACAAATGATGATGAGCTTTCTGATCCTGAACCTACGGAGAATCCCTGCGGGGATGGAATTCCTTGATTCTATTCTTTACATCAACTATGGAGGAAAAGACCAATCTTCAGGAAGTGCACTGGGTAGAACCTACTTTATTACAAGGAAACAGTCAGGGAGCCAGTTATGAGCCATTTTATGTCAGTAACAGATGACAGAGAGTAGTCTCAGTAGAGGCAGAACAAGTCTAAGCATTTGTGTACCAACATGATAAAAGGTACTACTGCCATTATTAGAAATAATAAAACTAAAGTGAGAAAATAGTGCTCAGTGTCGGTATGGGATGCTGTGGCAATCATTTGGGGAGAGCAAAGACAATTTTACCACTGCTGGAAAATATCCATGCAATGGCTTTCCTCAGGGCATCCTTGAGGTCCTTGTTCCTCATGCTATAGATTACGGGGTTTACTGCTGGAGGAACCACCTCATGCAGAATGGCCAGGACTAGATCCAGAGTTTGCAATGAGATGGAGGGAGGCTTCAGGTAGGCAAAAAATGCAGTGCTGACAAACAAGGAAACCACGGCCAGGTGCGGGAAGCACATGGAAAAGGCTTTGTGGTGGCCCTGCTCAGAGGAGATCCGCAGCACAGCTCTGAGGACTTGAACATAGGACAGCACAATGAAAATGAAACACATAAAGACTTGAGAGGCACTAACCACAATCAGTCCAACTTCCCTGAGGTAGGAGTGTGAGCAGGAGAGCTTGAGGATCTGGGGGATCTCACAGAAGAAATGGTCCAGAACATTGCCTTGGCAGAGAGGTGTGGGAAATATGTTCCCAGTGTGCAGGAGAGCATTGAGAAACCTACTGACCCAGGCAGCTGCTGCCATTTTCACACAAGCTCTGTTGCCCAGGCGGGTCCCGTAGTGCAGGGGTCTGCAGATGGCAACACAGCAGTCACAGGCCATGACTGTGAGGAGCGAAAACTCTGCTGAAAGGAAGAATGTTACCAGGAAGACCTGGGCAGCACATCCAGAGTAGGAAATGGCCCTGTTGTCCCAAAGGGAATTGGCCATGGATTTGGGGATGGTGGTGGAGATGGAGCCCACGTCAAGGAGGGAGTGGCTGAGGAGGAAGAAGTACATGGGGATGTGGAAGTGGTGGTCGCAGGTTATGGCTGTGATGATGAGGCCGTTGGCCAGCAGGGCAGCCAAGCAGATAGATGGTCAGGACGAGGGAGAAGAGCAAGCGCTGCAGCTCCCGCGTGTTGGCAAACAGCAAGAGGAGGAACTCGTTGAGGGAGCTATTGTTGGACATTATTCTGTCTCTGGGCATGCTAGACTCTCCAAAGAAGAAAAGACATTGAGAAGTTAGAGAGACTTTCCAAGCAACACCCAACCCATACTGCAAACCTTGCCATTCTCCTAGAAGCCCCAAAGTTCTGCTGTAGAACAGTGGGAAAAGGACAGTGGGTGTGAGTAGCTCTGGCATTCTTATCAGGGGAAATCCACTCAACTTGTAGAAGGGGTTTTCAGTGTCTTCACTGTGGTTTCTAAAGAGTAAGATAGCAGGAACAGAGTTTCAAGGATCCCATTCCTACTAAACCACATTCCTAACTGCTTCATTTACACATTTACAGGCAAAACGACTCCACCACTTCCCTGGGCAGCCTCTTCCAATGCTTCACCATGCTTACGATATAGAAATTATTCCTAATATCTAATTGAAACTCCCCTGGAGCAATTTGAGGACATATCCTCTTGCTTTATATGTAGTTATACTAGAGAAGAGATCGCACTCCATGACTACTACAACCTCCTTTGAAGTAGTTGTAGAGAGCGATAAGGTCACCCCGAGGCTCCTCCACACTATATAACCACAGCTCCCTTAGCTGTTCCTCAGAAAGTCTGTGCCCCATCCCCTTCACCAGCTTCATTGCCCTTCTTTGGACACGCTCCATCTTCTCCATGTCTTTCTTGCAGTGAGGAGCCCCCAAATTGAACAGTGTTCCAGGTGTGGCCTCTTCAGTGCCAGATGCAGGGGAACAATCACTTCTCTGGTCCTGCTGCCTATACTGTTTCTCACACGAGCCAGGAGGTCATTGACTTCCTGGCCCCCTGGGCACACTGCTGGCTCACGTTCATCCGGCTCTTGACCAACACCCCCAAATCCCTTTCTGGGACGCAGCTCTCCAGTCACTCCACCTCACGCCTGAAGTGCTGAATGGGGTTGCTGTGACGGCAGAGCAGGACTCAGCACTTGACCGTATGGAACCTCCTGCAGGTGATCTCAGCCCATCACTCCACACTGTCTGGATCCCTCTGTGGTGTCTTCCTACCCTCAAGCAGATCAACTCTTCCTCCCAGCTTGATGTTGTCTGTGGATTTGTTTATGGCGCACTCAATTCGCTCATCCAAATAATCACTAAAGATTTTAAAAGGAGCAGCCCCAGCACAGAGCCCTGGAAAGCACTGCTCATATCCTGTCACCAGCTCCATTGAACTCCATTCACCACCATTCTCTGGATCTGGCCATCCAGCTAGTTTTTCACCCAGTAAAGTGTACAGATCTCTAGGCCCTGAGCTGCCAGCTTCTCCAGAAGATAGCAATGGGAGATGGTACCAAAATCTTTCCTGTAGTCTAAGCAGAGCACGTCCATAGCCTTTCCCTCCTTCACTAGGCGGTACCCTTGATCATAGAAGGAGATCAGGTTGGTCAGGGAGGAGCTGTCTTTTATGAACCCATGTTGGCTCGGCCTGATCCTCCAGTTGTCACTTACATGCGGCATGATTGTCTACAAGATCATCTACTGCAGAACTTCCCTCGATAATGAGCACAGTCAGACAGGCCAATGGTTTCCTGGATCCTCCATCCAATCCTTTTTGTAGATAGACATCACATTGGCAAGTCTCCAGTCAAAGGGGACCTCCCCTGTAGAGCAGGACCACTCACAGACAATGCAAAGAGGCTTAGTAAGCACTACTGCCAATTTCCTCAGAACCCTCAGGTGAATCTCATTTGGCCCCATGGACTTGGGAAGGTCCAAGTGATGCAGCAGATCACTGTCTGTTTCCTCTTGGATTATGGGGAGTTTCTTAAGCTCTCTATAGTCGTCTTCCAGCTTGGGGGCCAAGTACCTTAAGAAGAACTGATGTGGGTGTTAAAGATTGAGGGAAAGAAGGTATTAAGTACCTCAGCCTTAGCCTCATCCTTGGTGTCAATATTCCCCGCCACAGCCAAGAAAGGATGAAGATTCTCTTTGGCTATCTTATTCTCGTCAATGTTTCTGTTGAAATAGTTATTGATGTCTTTTTTTCAACATCGGTCAGATTGAGTTCCAGAAGAGTTTTTGCCTTTCTAATTTCCTTCCTTCCTACCCTAGCAATGTCTTTGAACTCTTCCCAAGTTGTCTGCCCCTTCTTCCAAGGGGAAAAAAATCTTTTTCTTTATTCCTTTTTTTTTCTTTTTTCCCCCAGAGTGTCAGTGATAGCTCCCTTTTTGTCCAGCCTGCCCTTCTTCCCCTCTTGTCCATCTTTCAGCACATCGGGATGCCCTGGTCATCATGTTCCTGATCATCACCCTCATCAGAGGCTCCTTTTGAACTCACGGGACTTGGGCCACCTTCCTTTTCGGCCCCGTTCAGCATGTGTCAGAGCCGACTCTGGTAATGGCCTCGGTGCTGCCCACTCAAAGGGGAGGACAGGGGGCTGCCTCTGTCTGCACCTTCCTATTTCATGGCTTTTGCCACAAGTTTGCTGTTCCAGACAATGTCCCTGGACATAAGACTCTGCTGCTCAGTCCTTCCCATGGGGATCACGGCCCCATGACAGGAGACAGGCCTGCAGAGAGTGGGGATTCCTTGGGGACCTCAGCAACAGGCAGTAGAGCAGGGGCACATTGCAGGTGCTTTGGATTAACAAGAAGGCAAGAATATTTGTCCTTGCTGGAGGCAGATGCCATCTGAGGGCAAACGCACGCTGGAGATGTGGGGGACACTGGTCCCTTTCACAAATTGTCACACACAGTCTGTTTTTCACCTGCTTTGGATTTTTTCCCTACAGATTCACCTTCCAACCTTAAGCATTCTATGATTCTATGATTCTATGACAGGACAAGGGACAATGAATGCAAGCTGAAACACAGGAAATTCCATCTCCAGGTGAGGAGGAACTTCTTCACTGTGAGGGTGACAGAGCTCTGCAACAGGCTGCCCAAGGAGGTTTTGGAGTCTACTTTTCTGGAGGTCTTCAAAACCCGCCTGGATGCCACCTTGTGCCACATGCTCTAGGTGTGCCTGCTTGAGCGGGAAGGTTGGACTAGATGATCTCCAGAGGTCCCTTCCAACCTTGAAGATTCTGTGATTCCCGTACTCTTGATGTTCTTTCTGAGCTTTCCTTATTTTCCCATCGTTTCACACTCTTTCCAGTTTGTAACTTTTCCCACACTTTTGAACATATTCCCACGCTATCACTCTTTTGCTGTGCTTTTCCCTATTTTCAAAGCTTTCCATACTTCCACAACACTTTCACACTTCTTTCCACCACTTCAAAATTTTGTCCATGCTTACATTTGGGCTCTACTATTTTCAAACATTTCTGCTTATTTAGAATTCTTTAATACTTTTCACTATGCTTTTAATAATTTTTCCAAACTTGCCCTTCCTTCCCTTCCTTTTTGCTCCTGTGCTCACCACTTGTTCCATAACAAGTATAAGGAAGCAGCTCGAAAGTGTGGCCAAAAGAGCAAAAGGGGGTGAATCAAAACCTGGGGCGTTGCAAGGTGAAATGGGGGCAGGTTTGCTAAGAGCTGAATCCCGTTGCATTCCACTCCATCCTCAGCGGTTAGAGGGGCTGGAGGTGGTACACTCATCTCTTCACAGTGATGCCAAATGCTGAGGTAGTTGTAGGTTGAACCCTGGCCACACAACATTCACCAACACTCTGTCAACTCTGGAGGTGGCCACATTCACAACAATTAATGCAGTTCATGAAGAGTAGGATTTATTTGATTGCAAATACTACCCCACGGGGTTCTTGGCTACCTCTAATGACCAATGCGCAATACTGACTCACCCAGGAAGACGGGAGAGGCCTCTCAACCTCGAGGACACTCCTGAGGCGGCGTCTGGACCCAGAAAGAGATTTCTCCACTGCAGAGGCGCTGATTTCAAAGACGGCCTAGTTGGGACTTGCAAAACCATGCATTAATTCTACACCTTAGTCAAATCAGTGGGCCTGATTAAATCAGTTAATTCTACACCTTTGTCAAATCAGTGCCCTCTCATGGGCACCTGACACTGGCACCAAGGGCAGCTGCTGACTCCTCATGGAGCTGCTCTCCTCGGAGTGGGGACCCTGGAGTTTTTGCCCCTAACAAGGCCACGGTCACCATGGGGATGGCTCCCTCACAATGGCCTTGTGGGCACAATGCCACTGCCATCACAAAGCCCTGGCTGTCACCATGGGGATGGACCCCCATCATGATGCCTTAGTGGTGACCATGTGACTCCATCACAATGTCCTGGCCATCTCCATGGGGACACCCATCACCACCTCTGTGTCTCCAAGCTCTGGTTCTGGTTTTACAGCCTGCTTGGGAGCTTCTGTCTGGGGAGCAGGATGAATTTTCCTCCCCTCAGCTCTGCACTCCCCAGGCCTTGCAGAGGCTGTGCTTCTTCAGGTCTTCCGAGCAGTGATGTACACAAGGCCACCGCTCTTGCTCTGCCCATTCATCCTCACCCCTACACTTCCCACTGGCTCTCTGTCCTTCTCAAGGCAGAGCTCCCTGCACCCCGCTGCTCTCTTGAGTTTCCTTTGTCCACATCACCTGCTCCCTTGTCTGTCATCACAGGCTATCACTTCATCACTCTTGCTGCAGGTTTCTTCTCCCCTAAGTCAATGTCAATTTAATTTTCTCCTCACCAACTGGCTAGGTTGTGGATGAACACATTTCTTTAGCAGATACAGCAGGTGATCCAACAGGAAACCTTGACCCCTTGGAGTGTTAGCCGGGCCAGTGCTCCAGGACATCCTGCATGAAGTTCTGGTCACCCCACCAGATGACATGAACAGACAATGGGCTAATGAGGACCCCTGGGTGGCTGCATCAGACGCTCTCAAGGCCCACGACCACCTTTGGGAGCATCAGGTTCTTCCTGCCCCAGTGTCAGGCACAGGCGGAGAGCGGGCACTGCTCTGCTCTGTGTGGGTAGAGGTGCCCATGGCCAGGAATCCCTGCCCCCTCACTGGGGCAGCTCCTGCCCGGCTGTCCCGGCCCAGGGCTCCTTCTCGCCATCCTGGTGTTCTCCGTTCGGCTCCCATCCCTGCTGCCCGCCTCTCCCTCCAGCCCCACCGCTCACCTCCCTTGTGCTCCAGCGCTCCAGGGGTCCCGTCCATGGACGAGGAGCCGGTGTTGGCCGCCTGCTCCTTTTCCGTCCCAAGCCCTCGCTCTGGGGACATTTCTGCATGGCCTGCGCCTTTCCGGCCTGTCCTCTGCACGCACAGACGCGTCCCCACAGCCTGTGTCACAGCCCAGCCCTCTGACCAGCTGCTCCCACTGAGGGGACCTCACAGGTCCTTGGATGGGGCTGCTCCTGCTGCAGCCAATTGCGCACGGGGACACTAGTGACCTCACAATGTGCCTGGAACCTGCAGCTAGCTCTGGCCAATCAGCAGCAGGGACAGAGGTGACGTCACAAGAAACCTCAGCAACCCAGAGCCTGCTGATGCCATCAGGTCTATAGATAAGGATGTGACATCAGAGTCACCATAAGAGCCAAATCCCTGCTGCTGGCCAATCAGGGACAGGCACAGCAGTGATGTCACCACCAACATCCAGGTCACGTGTCTGCTGCTGGCCAATCAGGGACTGGCACAGCGGTGACGTCACCACCAACCTCCAGGTCGTGTGTCTGCTGCCCTACCAGGTCCTGAGGCAGAACTGCCAACACAACCCACATCCCAACCACGAACCTGTGTCTGCCTTGTCCCCACCAGACCTTGAGGGGACATCACAGCAACCTGTGGGAGCCAAGAGCCCCCTCGGCCCATCCACAGCCACAAGTGTCTTCAGAGTCACCAGTTTTGGGGCTCTCGGTTACTCAGGCAGACATTCCCTTGGGATACGATCGACAGCCATGGCCCTGCTGCTGTGTGTGACGTTACCATACAGAAGGGACCCTGTCCTTGGTCCCAGGAGCATGGGCCAGGTGGTTCTCCAGGCTGTGCTTGGAGAGCACTGTCCTGCAGTGCTTTCCCAGGAGAGGGTCCAGGCGGCAGCAGTGTCCTGGCCCCAGACATCCGCAGGACGGGGTGGATGCAGCTCCAGGGCAGGAGCATCGGCGTTTTCATGGGCTCCCAGTGCAGCCCTGACAGTGGTGGACACAAGTGGGCAGAGCCAGGCACACATGAGTGGCAAGGCCGGGGGTAGGAAAGGTGGCAGGGCTGGGAAAGGGCCCCCCTTCCTCCTTGTGGGGAAGAGAGTCCCCGGGTGATGCTGGACTCGCTCAGGCTGAGGGGAGGGAGCCCAGGCAGGGGGAAGAGGGACAGCAGCCGCACAAGGAAAGGGAGGCCGCTCACTCCATGTACTCACAGCCCTCGTGGCCATGAGCTCCTTAACTGCAGCCGCCTGCAGCCCCTCTGTGCAGCCCCTCTGCCCAGGACAGCGCTCGCTGCCCACTCCAAGCACGTGCTGCCCCTGGCGCTCCCCTGTGCTCCATGGAGGCTCCATGGCCCTCCCAGAAGCATGGACGGCTCTCACGGGCCCATAACCTGTGGGACAGTCCCCAGCAGACACCTCCTGACCACTCACCATCTGCACGGCACTGAACACCCACAGGTGACAGCTGAATCCAGACCTCATTCCCTAACACTTCCCTCTGGGAGCTGATGCCCTTGCGCCCATGCAAAACCAGGCGCAACCAGAGGGCCCTTGTGGGTGCAATTGCCTGAGGCCATTCTTGGCTCTGGCTTGGCAAGGGGAGCCCAGCCTTGAGGCCCAGGGCTGAGAAAATCCCATTTCATTACAGAATGCTACTTGGGAGGGCAGCTCTCATCCAGTGAGGGACAGAAGGACAGAAGGACTCTGGGTCGGGCTGATGCCTCTGGAGAAAGGATGCATTCAAGGATTTGTGCACAATGATGGGTATCAAAGATAAGAACAATCAAAACAAATCATTGCCTTACAAGCAATATCCTTGGTGAAGAGCCATGGGCAGCTTATTGCTGCTGAATCAATACCATTGGAATCAGTTTCTTCAGTGCACCCCTCATCTCCTTGTTTCTCATGCTGTAGATGAGGGGGTTCAGTGAGTACAGAACAGTGACCACCAGATCCAGAGCTGAGGAGGAGATGGAAGGAGGCTTCAGGTCTGCAAAAAATCCCATGCTGACAAACAGGGAGACCACGGAGATGTGTGGGAGGCACGTGGAAAAGACTTTGTGGCAGCCCTGCTCACAGGAGATCCTCAGCACAACTCTGAAGATCTGCACGTAGGACAGCACAATGAAAACAAAACACCCTAAGACTAGACAAATACTAAGCACAAGAGCCCCAAATTCCATGTGGAAGGAGTGTGAGCAGGAGAGCTTGAGGATCTGGGGGATCTCACAGAAGAACTGCTCCACCTCAATATCTTCGCAGAATGGAATGGAAAATGTGCTCCCTGTGTGCAGGAGAGCATTGAGAAACAAAATGGCCCAGGCAGCTGCTGCAATTTTGACACAAACTCTGCTGCACAGGAGTGTCCCATAATGCAGGGGTCTGCAGATGGCAACAGAGCGGTCATAGGCCATGACTGTGAGGAGAGAAAACTCCGCTGACGTAAAGAAAACAAAGAAAAAGATCTGGGCAGCACATCCCAAGTAGGAAATGATTCTAGTGTTCCAAAGGGAATTGGCCATAGCTTTGGGGATAGTGGTGGAGATGGAGTCCACGTCAAGGAGGGCAAGGTTGAGGAGGAAGAAGTACATGGGGGTGTGGAGGTGGTGGTCGCAGGCTACAGCTGTGATGATGAGGCCGTTGGCCAGCAGGGCAGCCAGGTAGATGGCCAAGAAGAGGGAGAAGTGCAAAAGCTGCAGCTCCCATGTATCTGCAAATTTCAGGAGGAGAAACTCATTGAAGGAGCTGCTGTTGGACATTTTTCTCTTATCATTCTTTCTGGACTGTTATAAGAAGAAAAGATATTGACATGTTATGAGAGTTATTTCAAGTAAAAAAGCCAATAAATATTCCAGTTCTAATACAAATAGCACACTGCATCTCTTTACTGAGAGGATCTTGGTGCAGCTCTTTGCTTGACCTCCAGTTTTATGTGACTGAGTGTGATGTGAGGATCAGGAAGATCTTCCTGTGGGCTCCAGGGATGTCTGTCCTGCTGCAGTAGTGGGAAGGGGACAACAGGGGTTGTGAGCCCTGAGATTCGCAAGCTGCCAGGTGAAATTCCCTTGGCATCTAGAAGTGATTCTCAGCATCTACACCACCTCTTCTAAAGAAGGGGTATCAAGAGCACGCTTTGGGGATTTGGGAAATTTATTTTCTTTGAGTTACCCCTATTGGCCCTGAGGAGTGCTCTTCAAAGGCAGAAAGGTTCAGCATTTCCACCAGGAATCCTATGTGAACTGGATTCATAGTCACCTTGTGCAGAATGAGGACAGATCACCTCCCTGTTTGCCTTGCTTGCAGCTATTCTGTTCCCACACATCATGGACCTGCATATGATCACACTACATGTTTCCCTGAAAAGAATCCCAGCCCTGCAAAGATCAAAAAAATCCCAAATCAAACCCAAACATCTCCAACTTCTCTCTCTTTCTCAGGACACCCGAGGGAGTTCTCCATGTTCCATTTTCAAAGACACACAGGACTCTCTTCAGCTGCCCATGAACACTTTCCAAACTGTTCTTTCCATCCTCTCAGCATCTGTACACATTCTTCACGGGTCTATTGGACATCTCAAAAAAGTCTGGAGGCAACAATAACCCCTGTAAAGACACCTGAAAGTCTAGCAGACCAGAACAGAGAAATAACCAGATGATGTTACACAGAAGATTGGCTCTGCTTAAGGAAGTCAGCTCCATTCCTAAACATTTCCTGGAGCTGCATAGGTTAGAGGGAGACTGGGGCCATCTCCCTCCCATGGATGTTCCTCTCTTGCACATCGTGCACGGCAGGTGTCTGAACTCCTGCTGAAAACCCACCAACCCCAGGGAGAGAACAGGAGCAGCATGGACAGGAGGGGCAGCAAGGAGCAACGCCGTGACCCTGCTGCTAAGGGATGGAGGGAGACAGAGGCAGAGGGGCACTCAGGAAGACCTTCACCTCACCCAGCGGGACATGTCACCTTTCTGCTGGTGACACTGCATGCAAGGCACTCGAGTCCCCATGTCGGGAGGCAGGAAAAGGGTCCGTAGCAGGAGGGATGTCATTGTCCTCCGCCGGACATCTGGCTGCAGAGGACAGGGCTCCTGGCCTGGATCCCATGGCTGTCAGGGCAGAGAGGTTGCTGGGTGGCAGAGGAGACTTGGAGGGCTTGCTCAGGGGAAGGTGTCTGCCTTGGAGACACTGAGCAGGACTTCCCCAAATCCATCCTCCCATCAGGATGGGCACTTCCATCTCCTTCCCTCTCCATGTCTGCTGCCCACAGCAGTCCCTGCTGGGACCTTTCTCTCTCCCAACATTTCTCCCCACTCTTTGCTTCTAGATCACATAACACCTTTCATGTACTCAGTTCTGCAAAAACCTCTGGGGACAGAGCACTGTTGTGAGGYATCTCCATGCAGGCAGTGTGCAAGGAGCAAGGAAAATAAATTCCACAAAGCGGATGCTGATGCTGATGCTGTCTGCAGGCTGGGGTGGGTTGAAGGAGTTCTGCACTTGACACTGCTGCAGTGATACATGGAAGAAAGCAGCAGTGGCCTCTGTCCTGGGAGGCTGCAGCACAAAATCCCTGTGCTGAAACATCACGTCCTGCTGCTATGCCCTGAATATTCCAGGAGAGCGAAATCCTATCAGTCATGGGATGGGTTGAGTTCATCAAATCCCTCCAGGAACATCACTTGCATTGTCCTCTAGCCAGAGACTCACCATGCAAGGGTTTGTGAAGATTCCTCTCACAGTGTGCTCTGCTCTGCGCTCCCACCCTTCACTGCTGTTCCCCTCTCTCTGCCTCCTCTCCTGTGCTGTGCGCAGCAGCAGGCAGTGCCCGCAGCCCTGCTGCTCTGGGCACAGCAGCTGCTCCTGCACACGGTGGCTCTGGGCAGGGCTGCCAGGCTGCCACGAGCTGCCTGCGTCCCACGAGCCTGGCCCCGCTCAGCAGTAGAGGCCCAGATCAACTCACCAATTTCTCCATCCCTTGGGATCCCTTCTCCTGGGCAAAAGTTTACTTAAATAAATTAAAATAAATTCCTAATGACAACTGGTGCAACTTGAGGCTACTTCCACTTGTTCAATCAGTAAGAATTGGTGCAAGCTCTTGAAGCCATGAGGTGCCTCTCTCTCTTTCCAAGTCCTTTCTAAGTTAAGTTGGACACGTTTTGTGCTTTGAAATTCTCTCTGTGATAATAATACTTGTGCAGATCTGTCTGACTGCTTTTCAGGCATAAATCCAATTTCTCCAACCCCCAGGCCTTCCATAAATGTGTCTCTCAGTGTTTCAGAGCTGTTCTACCTCTCATAAAAGGTCATTTCCCCAGTGCAGATCTTAGAGCTTCGGAGCTGCAAGAAGCTGGAAGAAGCACTGCTTCTTCCAAAGTTGGAGTCAAGAATTTGCTCAATGACTCTCGGCCAGAAAGGCACTTGTTGCTTATCTGAGGGTCACCATGAGCTCAAGGCAATGAGCTCCTGGCGTGATATGTTAAGGAACGAGAGCTGGGTTCAGCTCTCCCTTGTGGCYGCTCAGTGTCCTGATAGTGGTGAATGGTTGTGCACTATCTGCCTGGTCATGCATTCCTGCCACAAGTGGGGCTGGTRGYAGRTGCCTCAGCRGGACCTTGCAGGCACAGGGAAGGGAGGTGCAGAAGCAGTTCCTGACACCTCAAACACCAAATCTGGTGTGGATCTAGGGATACACCTGCACGTAGTGTGAGCCATTTGAAAYGCCTTGTGATGACTCAGAGCATCATGCACAATCAGCACCTGGCCATGATCTCCCGGTTTGTCTGCACTGCATTTTTTGCCCACCTGAAGGCCCCCTTCYGTCTCCTGCCCAGCTCTGGATCTGGAGTTGGTCTGTACTYGGTGATGCCTCCAGCACTGAGTCCCCTCATCTACAGCATGAAAAATAATGAGCTGAAGGATGGCCTGAGGAAAGGGATTTCATGGACATTTTTCAGCACTAGTAAAATCGTCATTTCTCTCCACACATACTCCTTCTGTATCCCAACTGGATTGAGCACTGTTTCTTCATGGTATTTTTTTGTGGATTTTATTAGCAATATTAATAATTACAATGTTATTTCACAAGTAGTTGGATGAATGGTGCTTTTATAAGATTGTTCTCTTTCATCTGATCCATTAAACTGTGTTGAAAGCTGAATCAGGACTGGTTCCTTCTCTTGCTCCTGTGTAATAAAATATATTCTGAAAAGGACACTGTGTGAAGGCTACACTTCTTCCAAACTTGTGTCAATAATATGCTTAAGAAGGGGCCCTATACAAGGGCCTGCTGAGCAGCTTTCTCCAGGGGTTCCGGATAAAAGAACTTGTCATTTGTAATGATTTCTTTAGAGATCACAGGGTCCTGTGATTTGGCAATCACTTATCAGTGTCCAGGAATAGTGTAGTGGTTGAGTGGTCCTGCATTTAGATGGCCAGAGCTGGGCTGTGTGTTAAAACACAGAGTCAGATTCGCATCTTTCTGCAGGGGCAGCTGGAGATGCTAGGAGAGCAGTGAGTGGAGCCTCCCAAGGAGAAAGGTCCTTCAAGATGGAAGCACATAAAGGTAAAGCTCAAAACTCAGATATTTGGGGGCAAGGCAGAGCTCTGCAATATCAGGAGCAGCAGGGAGGACACAGCGGGCACAGGGGAGGGAGGCTGCAGAGTCACACTCTCACAAAAAGCAGGGGCAGGACCTAGAGATGCCCCTGGACACAACTGGTGCCCTCAGAAATGTCTGTAGTTCCTCCGAGCACCGGGCACATCCACGAACTCCTGGGGGAATTTGAGGCCACAAAGCCCATTCGGTTGAGTCTGCTTCTCACCCTGAGCAGAACAGCAACAATGGAGACATCTCCTGCTCCCTGTGTGACCACCTGCCCACTTGCTCTGCAAAGCAGTATCATGAGCTCAGGGTCTTATGGGCAGAACTGGGGAGGGAACTGTGGGAACAGACCAGAGAATGAGAGGAGGGCTTGTTGAGATGATTGGGAAGTGGAACTGGGCGTGAAGGGGTCTTGGAGAGAAAACTGCTGACCTTGAATCCAAGACAATATTCAGAGTGTGGGTCCAGTACAGTGAGTGGCAGCAGAGCTGGGCCAGGGCGGGAATGGGCAGGACAGGACCATGACACTGCAGGAGCTCTCAGGCTGCAGGGGCCTTTATCTCCCTCCTGTGCACACCACAGACCCAGAGGACATGGGATTCATTTTGGCTACATCAAGGTGAGCGCAGAACAGGTATCTGCATGCATGCCCCTTGTTTAAGCCGTTGTGTCTCATCACTCGAGATAGAGGGGAGGAGTCAGCTGCTTGGATAATAACACGTTGTTATGCCTGAGGTTCCTGGTGGGATCCAAGGCACATGCAAGGGACTGCAAGTTCTCTTGGAACAAGGCCCAGAGATGCCCATCCTTCCCAAGCATCAGCTGGTGGCCACGGGGGTAAGGAGGATGTCTTGGCCACCAGAAATGGAACCACACATGTGCATGGAGAGCCTCTGAGACCATGTTGGTCAGACATATCTATGGAGCCTACAGGTCCATGTAGCTGAACAGACGGAGGATGCCACCATGAGGAGGGACAGCTCTCTCTTCTGGTCCAACCACAGGGTAGACTAGAGCAGCAATCCCAGCAAAGTGACATGTACACTGCCCTGCATGGTAGGCATTTAAGTTAAATGTGCTGTTTCATTGCAGTGGCATAATATGGCATAATTAAGGTTTTTTGTACTGTGACATGTTCCTCGTGTGCCCTGCACATGCACATTTTGCTGGCAATACAGCACAGGAGCTCCAGGAAAGCCATGAGCTCACAGAATGCCTCAAGGACAAACACCCTGGGGCCCCTCATGTGCACCTATGGAGCTTGGGTCCCTGGCACCCCGTGGCTCTCCCCTTTCTCCTGCCTGGTGGTCTGCTGGGTCAGCAAAGCTGCTCCTGGTGCTGGAAACATGCAGAGCGGGTGAAGTTGCTTACAGAGCTTCCTCGCAACCTGCTGGTCTCTCTGTCGACCCTGCAGTCTTTGCCCCCAACAAGGCCATGGTCACTAAGGTCACTATGGAGATCGCTTCCTCACAATGGCCTTGTGGGCACAATGCCACTGCCACCACAAAGTCCTGGCGTTCACCATGGGCATGGACCCCCATCATGATGCCCTGATGGTGATCAGGTAGACCCTATCACATTGTCCTGGCCAGCCATCTCCGTGAGGACACTCCTCCCCACATCCTTTCCCTCCAAGCTCTGGTCCCAGTTTATGAGCCAGCTTGGGAGCTGCTGTCTGGGGAGCAGGATGAATTTTCCTCCCTCCAGCTCTGCACTCTCCAGGCCTCACACACGCTGCGCTTTTTCAGGCTTTCCTGGACGTCCCCTGCTGTATTTGCCAACCAGATGGACATGTTCTGCACTCCCCTGCACTTAGGCAAGAGGACTCCCATGTGCTGTGGGTCTGTGGTGTGCACAGGAAGGAGGCGAATGCCCCTGCAGCCTGAGCTCCGAAGCTCCCAAGCTCCAGAAGTTGACTAGAAAACACAAAGACTGAAACATCAAGATGTAAAATGCAAACTCCACACAA